ATATGCAGTTGTATGGTTATTAGTTTTCCTCTCTGTGCAGAAGTGTAAGTTGACAATGCCAATATAGGTCTTGTTGGTTTAAATAGCTATTCGAATGAGTTAAATTTGAATTTCATTTTTATGTAATTTATATGCTCTGTTATAATATACATTGAGCTCTTTTTGTGGATTACTTTCAATATTTTATATTATTACGATTCACTTGGGTTATGTTCCAATGGCTTATTACCTGTATAAATATATATATATATATATATATATATATATATATATACGATCCTAGCTAGCCAAAAGTTATGGAATCAACTCACTTGTTTTTTAGTTCGCAGTAAATAGGCAAATCATAAATATGCTAGCAAGCAGTTTTGTTTAATAACTGAACATTCTAGATTCGTGAAATATACCTAAAATAAATTACAGCAAATTATTTAATTCAATGGCACATATTTTTCCCAAAATCGTGTAACGGAAAAAAAAAAGATTGAATCACTCAATCTTTAGGGGAAAAAATGATAAAATCACGAACTGGAATAATCCGAGAAAAAAAAAAACTACTTTTTTCGGCTTATTTTAATAACAAACCGTCACGTTATTGAAAAAGAATAAAAATTACTTCCCCTTATTCAAAAGCAAAATGCTTGAAGCAGATGATATTTTTTTTTAAATATGTCAGATACGCATGCGCATAAAAAAAACTACTCTACGTATATAGGTACGGGCATTTTAATTTGTGCACATTCGTCTTTCATTCTTTCTTTATATATTTATTTATTTCTCGCAGACATTTATTAGGCTGAGTCGTTTTAGATTATTAATTTTATTCTTCAAAAAATAAAGTACAATTACATTTTATTCAGTTACATATACACCATTATTTATCAGACAGTTCTTCGATACATGTAAAAATGTCGATGGTGTGAGAAAAAAAACAACATAGTTATAATTTGTTTATCCGGTGTTATTCTTGCTGCGTAGGTTCTTTAGTTGTTTTGCTGTGGAACGTAATGAGGAAGGGGGGATTGGAAAGTTTGATACTCACAGGACAGATTGAGGTAAAGAGGGACAGAGGAAAGCAGCGCTTAATATACTTGATGAGCTACAAGGAACGGGAAAATGTGGTGGGCCAGGATCGCCTACGTCCTGAAGGGAAAACGTCACATAACAGAAGAAGGGGAGAACAATTTCTACTGTCGAGCGCAACTAAGCTTTTCAAGCAAACTTATATGGATGAGCGTCTAAGCATGCTTTGAAAAATAATGTTGTCCACATATTTATTACCATATTCACGATGTTTCGACTGTTGCATGCTCCGGCCTTCGTCGGGTGAATTTCGGACTGAACACTCTATTTCATCCATCGCGGTAGATTGTTCTAGTTCCACGTGCCATGCCTCTTCCAGGTGTTTCAGTATCAGTTATCTCCCTTTAAGCCAACTCTCCGAAAAATGTAAATAGTTTAAATAATTATCTCACCTCAGAAATATAGACAGATCCTGAAGAAGGCCGGAGCGTACAACGGACGAAATGTCGTGATAATTGTAATAAAAATAAGGACAACAGTCCGAACAATGTAAATAATGTAAATAATTAAATATCTCACCTCAGAAATGTTAGACAGATCCTGAAGAAGGCCGGAGCGTATAATGGACGAAACGTCGTGGTAATGACAATAAAGATGAGGACAACTGTCCGAACAATGTAAATGATGTAAATAATTAAAATAGCTCATCTCAGAAATATAGACAGGCAGTAAGATTATATCAAAAAATAATTATTACCTCAAAAAAAATATTCTTACAATCCCAAGATATTCTTCGGCTTTAAATAACCTCAAAAATGTGATAAGCCGTAAAAATCAAATTAATCGATCAATGAGTACAAGGCCAGCTGCCAACACAGAGTAACCTACCTAACAAACTTGTGTACATGACTGGCAGAGCACATAGTGGATGGGATGGGGAAAAGATACACCTTACTAAGAGATACAAATTAAATGATGTTGTGGAGATCCATGATCGCCCACGTCCTGAAGAGACATGGCCCAGGAAAAAATTATACATTGCTACCAATTGTAGATCAAGTCGTCGACTCACTACAGATGGATCCATTGAGTTAGGACTTATGATGGCTATTTTAAATTCTGTCGCATCTATCCCCAGATGCGCAGTGTTCAGTTCCTACTATATTGGAATTTACATAGCAAGTGCTGAGATGAGCTCCATTCTTTAACTAGGATATTTACACAGTCTTGTAAGGGAAGCCATATTCTCCAATCTGCAGCCTCATTCCAATAGATGAAACATTGCAAGCCTTTGCTACAATACTGCTATTTCCATGGCAAATGTTCAGATGAGCTACATTCTTTAGTTTCACCAGTTCAGACCTTTACAGCTAGGACATTTACACAGTCTTGTGAGGGAAACCATATTCTCCAATCTGCAGCCTCTTTCCCATAGATGCAACATTGCAAGCCTTTTGTTACTCTATTGCTATTTCCATTGCAAATGTTCAGATGAGCTCCATTCTTTAGTTCTATCAGTTCAGACCTTTACAGCTAAAACTCGCCATGATACGTCAACTCCAACATCTTTTTCCGAAGTAGTGCTACTATGTATAACAGACCCCAGTGTGGTTCTTCGCTGAACATTACACTCCTGCAAACTCTGCAAGTCAAGTTCTAATCGTTACATCAAAATGATCAAAATCTTTCACATCTCTCTTAATGGGAGAATTTTAATAAACAAAGGAAGAACATGCTCACATACGCATAAATGGGTAATGTCGTCTTAATTTTGGTATGTAGATTTTGGTTCTTGCGAAAGGAGAGGAATAATTCTTTACAATACAAGCATTGCTAATCCCTACCTTACTGCATGCATTCGGGTATCTATTCGGTATATCGGGTATCATTCGGGTATATTGCAATGTAATCGGGCTCAGAAAAAGCCTTTTGTGTGCCACTTATCAAATTAGGGAGATCGTAAAAATCCTCATTCATTTCATTTTGAAAACCGGCTGCAGGACTCTGGCGAGAATTCTTCTCAAGATCGAATTAAACAAGCGGGAAATCGATGCAAAAGATAGACACTAAAAAGTAAAACATCGAATGGTCACTTTAATTAATCGATTCATTTGTTTGTTTAACGGCATATCAAAACCTCATGGGTCATTTAATGCCGAAATTTAATTTTCTTGCTAGCTTGGAAGTAATAAACATATGATATATATTATTCTGCTTTCACAATTGATTACATGGTAGAGGATACTCAGCTTTTCGGCAGATACATGTTTATGCGAACATAATTACTAGAGGCGATGATATCTGTGTGTTTTATGTTGAAATGTTGTTGAAATTATATTTTGGAATAGAGTTTGATTTCTTTTAGAAATTGTAGCATGTTAGTGGGAGGCACCGTGAAGTAATGGATAGCGGCTGGGGAATCGGAGAGCCGAGTTCGAATTCCAGTCGAATCCATTACATTCACTTAAGTGCTAATACCCTTGAGAAAGGTATGAATCCTCTTTTTCTCCCTCCTCCCCTAGCCATGGGTAAATAGCATGACTGGATGGCAACTTGTCTACCGCAAAAAGAAATGGCAACCTCCTGTAGGGGAAAAATCTACCTCGTCAGTCATGTATCGAAAGATACATGATCGCCTAAGCGTGTATCACGCATGACACATAACTGACTGACTTACACACACACACACACATATATATATATATATATATATATATGATATTATGTGGAGTTATATCATAAAAGTGTTCTTTCATATTGGTTGAATTTGTTTAGTGGCATACCAACACATCTATGGGTTATTTAATGTTGAAATCTAAACATTTTGAACGAATTTGTATGCCTTCGACTAGAGATAAAATATGTTGTTGCTCATTTTGCTATAAACTTTTATTGTCAGTAATTTTACTACAAATACTTGTGGTTGGCAATCTTTTCATTTAAAAATCCATTACTGGTATTTATATTAAAAACAATATATATTTATATCTTCATGGTGTTTTGTGGCTCACTATTTTACCCATAGATGGGACCTTAGTAAGTGCTACCACCCTGAGTCAAGTGATCCGGGGAATAACAGTAATTAAAAGGTGGTTTACACGCCCCTCAAATCATTTCAACCTAAGGAAGGCAATAAAGCCACTAAGACGCAAGACTTAGAGAGTGTTAGAGAATATGAGAAAAAAACTATTAAGGAGAGAGAATATTTAAAAAAAAAATGAAGAATACAGACGATAACGATTCACATTGCATTGGAGGTCAGTCATGGCGCCAAAGTCTCTCAGCTGTATATAAACGCTTTCTAAGATGAATGATTTAAAACTGCTTTGAGTGAGTCAGGCCTGGGGATCTTAGAACCCCCCCCCCATTTCAAACATTGTGTACTGGTGCTACACAATCACAAAAAAAAAACGAACTCTATCAGAAAACGGAAACCACTTGAGGACAATCAACAACAGCAACAACTAAAATGGATAACACATGTAACTAAAAAAGAAAATAATTATATAATTGAGACATTAACGTTCCACGCTACTTCAAACAAAGGCTGATGAAGGAAGCCGCCATCATTACCGAAAAGAAACGATAGCCAATACTGGACTTGAAAACCATTTTCGTGAAAAAATGTTTGAAGATGGATTTTCTTGTCAGTTTCAAACGACAGCCGTACTGGCTGCTCGGTAAATGAATGGTGAATGTTTCCTGAGAAGGAAAAAGCTAGATTTTACAATTATTATTAACGTATTTGCAGTAATTTTGCGAGGAAAAATGTATAATCCTCGACGTACGTTCATCCTATATATATAATATAAATCATTTTTGATGCATTTACATCTATCTATCATGTTTGTTCATATCTATCTATATATCTATCTATATTACAATTTTCATATCTGCGTGTATATATATTTTCTATCTATATATATATATATGTGTGTGTGTGTGTGGGTGGGTGTGTGGTTGTGTATGTGTCTGCTTATATGTATCTATCTGTCTTTACCAATCTATCTAGCTATCTATCTCAGTCTGTTCATATATTTCTATCTATCTATTTATCTACCTCTTTCTATTCATATCTATCTATCTATCTATCTATCTCGAAACACACACAAATATATATATATATATATATATATATATATATATATATATATATATATATATATCCTTCATCTATCTATGTATCTATCTCAGTCTGTCTATAAATTTCTATCTATCTGTCAATGTATCTATCTTTCTTTCTCAATCTATCTATCTATCTATCTATTGTAGTCATTCTATCTATCTATTGTAATCATTCTATCTATCTATTGTAGTCATTTTATCTATCTATCTATCTATCTATCTATCTATCTATCTGTCTATCTATCTCAGTCTGTTTATATCTATCTATCTATCTATCTCAGTCCGTTTTCATCTATCTATATATCTATCTATCTATTGTAATCATTCTATCTATTGTAGTCATTTTATCTATCTATCTATCTATCTATCTATCTATCTATCTCAGTCTGTTTATATCTATCTATCTATCTATCTATCTATCTATCTATACACAAAATACATCTACGCAGAAGAAAAAAATGTCCTTCCCACGGGACTTAAATATCAAAATAAAATAAGTTTTGTTTTGGATTATCTTTTTTTGCTTCTTTTTTTTTCACACTTTTTATTTCCAACTCTACTGCTCGCTCAATAAATACCAAATGTTTCCTTGTAAGGAAACGGCTATTATTACCATTACCATTAACAAGCAATGAATATCTTGTCAAGGCTAACGAACGCAAAGGAATATGCAGCAGGAATAACCGAGAGATTTCCTTATAAAACTCTGGATGATAAATCGATGAAAGCTATTCGTCAAAATGGACGAAATAAGAAAAGGGACACAAAAGAATGTTATCGTCAAGAGAAACAAACTGTGAAAGGAAATAAAAATTCTTTGTGCATCCATCATTGTTCGGAAAGTCGTATATTAGAGTTGATGTCAAGACGATAACATTGCAGAGATTTATTAGCATAGAAAACTAATCAGACACTCAAATCTTTACTTTGTATATTTGCTGAGGATAGGTTTATAGATTTGAGAAGAGTCATCAATATAGTCTTCTTGTTACGAACGTTTGATTCTCTTCATCGTCTCTTTACTGGTGACGAGAACACCAAGAAAAACCATTGCGTATAGTACCTTGTTTGGACGTTCAAATCTCTATTCTATTTTATTTTTTTTTTGTAGATTTGCTATTGCTAATATAATAAAATTGAAAAAAAAAGATCCATTAACGTAACCATCTTTGGTCGCATGCTAGAATCTTTCTTTTGTAATGTTACTATCTCTAAGACGGTAACATTGAGAAAGGTCATTAATATATCCAACATTATTCGAGCGCCTAATTCTCTTTTTCTATTTTTTTTTCTTTGCATGGCTGCCGTTGTTAAGGCTATGACTTTGAGTTGAGTCATTAATATATTCAAAATTGTTTGGACGCTCAAATCTATTTTCGTATAGTTGTCGTTGTTAAAAAAATAACATTGATACTAGTTATTAATATATTCAAAACCTATATAATAAATGCCAATGTCAGTGTGTCACACCTCTTCAGTTAAAAGGACACAACTCTCAATAGCTCATCTCCTTCTTCTATATAATAAATGACAATGTCAGTGTGTCACTGCGTCGCACTTTTTCCACTTTACTCCTACAGGTCTTAGCCCAATATATCATACCATTTTGCAATCAGGCCTACTCTGTGTGCAAATTAAAAACATTCCAGCCCGGATCTGAAATTTTGCGATTGTTTTCGGATTCAGCCATCTTGGCTTCTACTGATAAAAACAATTAAAGGGACACAACTCTCTACTTTTATAAAACTCATCTTCAAATGAAAAAATTACTGTTCTCAAATTAGTGTTTCAAAATAAAATTGTCCGCGTTTTCAAATTTACTGTTATAGACCATAGCCCAACATATACCATTTTGGAATCCGGAAGCAAATCTTGAAATTTTGGGTTCTCAAGTTTTCATTACTGCGATTGTTTTCGACGATATTTTACGTGATTTTTTTTTTTTTTTGCGACGAATATTTTTTCCGATAAGAATTTTTATAACTAGGAAATACATTTGGGAATAATCGAAAGTCACCCAAAATTAAAATTCAGTGACGGCAGAAGAATTATCGACGTACTTTTAAAAGGTAAACATAAATGTTAATGAAATACTTAAATGCAACGATCAATTTTGAGATCTTCCGTAATTTATGGTTGACTATCGCTTCTACTTCTCTCTACCTATTGTGACGTAAGCCCAGTCTAGAGCCCTCCATAAGGAGCTAGGTTAAATACTTCCCGATAGGGTGGCTTTCAAACAAATACTTAACATATTCAAAATTGTTTGCACGGTCAGATCTCTTTTTGTATAGTTGCTGTTGTTATCAGAGTTATTCATATAAGACGTCGAGTTAACGACAGTCCGTTGCCGTTTGGTAACTAGATTCTGCATATTTCGTTTTATATGTACTGGAGAGTAAGGTCACGAAATCTAGTAGGTGGGTCACTTCCGGGCAAATTGAGGTCAACCTTAAACAAGGTCACATCATCGTCACTTTATTCGTCTCTGATTTTCTTTCACGGTCAACCAACTCTTGGAAAGCCAAACGCCGACAGGGAATGCATGATGGGAAGAAGATTTCGTGAAACTGGAATCTTCGCGTCCTAGAGCTGCACGTTGGCGGTGAATGGAGTCATCAACACTATTATCATAAAGGAAGTGTTCATCAAAAAAGGAATTAAATTCTTGGATACGAGATAAAGCCGACGACGTTTAATTTATTAAAAATTGTTTAAACGCTGAAACATATACATATACACACACACACATATATATATATATATATATATATGTGTGTGTGTGTATAAGTATATGTTTCAGCGTTTAAACAATTTTTTATATATATATATATATATATATATATATATATATATATATATATATATATATATATATATATATGTATATATATACACACTCATATATACACATATACATACATAAACCTACACATGTTCTAATAATATTATCTTAGTGACGATAAAGGACTGTAAAGTCCATACAAGATTAAAATGTTTCTGTATATATATATATATATATATTATAAATTGATTGATTTAAAAATGTTTTTTTTTTTCGCTACTGTGTAGCGAAAAAAACATATTTTAAATCAATCAATTTATAATATTAATGCTCTGTAAATTTACATTGAGCACTATTTTGTAAAAATAAAATATCTATAAGAACACCGGATTATATATCTTTCTGTTCTGTCTTTTTATATATATATATATATATATATATATATATATATATATATATATATATATATATATATATATATGTAGTTTATTTACTTTTTTTATGTTGCTGTATAGGTTGATATATTTATATTTATTTCTATGTGTTTATATATGCATATGCGTATGGGTGTATGTATGTGTGTATGTGTATATATATATATATATATGTATATGGGTATATGTATACGTATATGTTTGTGCGTAGGTATACTTTAGTATGTTTTTATCTGTAGTGAAGAATGTATGTACACATATGTCTATATATATTTTTTTTTTATTTTCTTTCACATATTGTTATATATTTGACTCGTGTATGTGTACTAATACGTATATAAGTATATATGAGATATTTATATATATATTTATGTGTTTAGGTGTTTTTTTCTTTTTTATATATTAGTGTTATTTTTATGCGTATATATTTATTTTTCGATCCATTTCTGTATATTTTAGTGTCCTTTTTCCTTATGTTGTTCATTGGCGAATATTTGTTTTTTTTTCTATTCGGCCCATATTAAACTTTATGTATTCAACCAGTAACTTTGTGACAAGTTAATATATTATATTTTCCACGTTTGTCAGAATGACTTCGAAAGTCTGGGAGAACAGAAAGGTTACTACGAACAAGAAAATCGCAGGCTATAGTGGGTGCGCCGTCATCGTGCTGCTCTAGGGCTGCGAGACGGGAAGCTTCTACGCCAGACAGGGTAGATGCTGTCTGAGACGCATTCTATGCATTAATTTCTCCGACCGGGTTATCAATACCGTAGTTCAAACGTGCCCAGTTATCCAGCCAAAACAGCCTTCCCAAACAGCGCCAATTCTGTTGGTTTGGACATGTACACTGTATGTCGGATGGAACGATTCCAATGTGCCTTCAGCGAGAGAGCATTAGGACGGTCTCATGTTCGCTTCAATGACGTCTGCAAAAGGGACAAGAGTACAATAGACATGGACGTCGAAAGGTGGGAAGACGTCACAACAATCGGAGACACGATTTACACCGACGACTGGAGAGAAGAGAGAAGAAACGAAGGCTGGACACCCGGGAAGAAACGTGCAAGAAGTACAGCAAAAGAACAAGGAAACATTGATGGAGAAAATTTTCACATTTATTCGTTGCAATCGAGAGTTTCAGTCTGATGTGGACCTGTTGACAAACAACAGATTTTGCACAGCCACCAGCAGCTGAGGCATCACCCTTTCGGCACAGATCAAAGGTTTCTTCAGAATGGTTTCGGCCACAAAAATATATATAGAAAATTATTAAGACTATCAAAACTTCTCTTTGAATATATGCCATTGTACGGCAATGTTTGAATCGAGTCATTCACCATTGTTTGGACGCACAAATATCGGCTTTGAAATGGGGCTGGTTTTTAAGGCCAAACTTTTAAAACGAGTCATTAAACACTTTCGGGTGTTCAAATATCGTCTTTGGAATGGGGCTGTTGTTAGGGATATACCTTTGAAACGAGTCATTCACTATTGTTCGGACGCTCAAATATCGTGTTTGAAATAGAGCTGGTGTTAGGGCCATACCTTTGAGACGAGTCATTAAGCACCGTCGGAAGATCAAATATCAACTTTGAAATGGGTGTAGAGTTAGGGCCATACCCTTGAAATGTTTCATTAAGCACTTTCAGACGAAAAATTTCGTCTTTGAAATAGGGCCGGTGGTATGGCCATATCTTTGAAACGAATCATTAAGCACTTTCGGACGCTCAAATATCGTCTTTGAAATGGAGATTGTGTTAGGGCCATATCTTTGACACGTGTCATTCACCATTGTTCAAGCGCTCAAATATCGTCTTTGAAATAGGGCTTGTGTTAGGGCCATATCTTTGAAATGAGTCATTAAGATGTTTCGGGCGCTGAAATATCGTCTTTGAAATGGAGCTGTTGTTAGGGCCATACCTTTGAAACGAGTCATTAAGCACGTTCGGGCCCTCAAATATTTTCTTTGAAATGGGGCTGTTGTTAGGTCTATACCTTTGTACCGAGTCATTAAGCATTTCTGACGTTCAAATATTGTTTTTGAAATAGGCTGTTGTTAGGGCCATACTTTTGAAACGAGTCTTTCACCATTGTTGGGACGCTTAAATATCTTCTTTAAAATGGGGTTCCCCTGAAATCTATATATTTAAGAAATTAACCTATTTTGATTATATTAATATCTTTTTTTTTTTTATTGCCTTAACAACGGCAACCATACAAAAAAGAGATTTGAGCGTTCAAACTGTTTTGGTTGGTGAATTTGTTGGTATAATAATTACTAATTCAATCTCAATGCTTGGCAGTATTTATTTGGAGCAAGACAAGCAATAACTGAACAATACTCAATAAGAATTAGATCGGATATTCCTTGGCATATATAGCGGAATGTCATCAATCTACCAACGGATATTAAATAAATGGCTCACTTCAAAATCCTCTGAATGTTACTGCGATCGACAAACATCTGATGCAGGCCGAAGGAAAAAACGACCGAAACGTTCCGATAATAAAAAGAAAGGTGAAGAGAAAAGCCCGGATGTAATTAACGTAAATAATGTTATGTTATTTCGGATTGTTGTTCGACTGAACTATTTTGTTTTCCTTTAATTAGAAAAGAGGCTGCAGATTAGATAATATGGCTTTCCTCACAAGACTGTGTAAATGTCCTAGCTGTAAAGGTCTGAACTGGTGGAACAAAGAATGAAGCTCATCTGAACATTTGCCATGCATATAGCAATAGAGCAGCAAAAGGCTTGCAATGTTGCATCTATGGGAAAGAGGCTGCAGATTGGAGAATATGGCTTCCCTCACAAGACTGTGTAAATATCCTAGCTGTAAAGGTCTGAACTGGTGGAACTAAAGTATGCAGATAATAAAAAAGATGAAGACAAAAGTTCGGATGTAATTAATGTAAATAATGTTATGTTATTTCGGATTATTGTTCGACTGAACTATTTTGTTTTTCTTTTAATCACGATGATTTAATTGCCTGTAAAGAATGAATCTTCTCCGTGATGATGGGACGGGAGTTTGCGGAAATTGTAATATTTTTATAAGATAACCTCCGAGTCGTGCTGGAAAGAAATGATTTGATTTAAAAATAAATCTATTTTTAATCACTGATCTACATTGATCGTAAAATATATGTCTGGAGGTGGAAGGCGATAAGCTTGAAATAAACGGTTTCTAAACGTACCTTTTACAAAATGGAATCTTTCAAAAAGTGACAGTGTATCGGCGTGTATAAAAATAGTTACTGAACTAGGCGCTAGCTGGCGCAACATTTGTCAACACGGAAACGAATTTTAAATCAATCGTTAGAAATGCGCCTTTTATTCTGTTTAAACTTGATTTATTTTACTTTTTTACAGTGTTTGGCGCAATCTCTCCCCCTCTCTCTCTCTCTCTCTCTATATATATATATATATATATATATATACCAAGTATATTTATATCTATCTATCTATCTATCTATCTATCTATCTATCTATCTATCTATCTATCTAACTCAGTCTATTAATATCTATCTATTTATCTATCTCTGTTTATCCCAGTCTGTTCATATTTATCTTAGTCTGTTCGTATCTATCTATCTATCTATCTATCTATCTATCTATCTATCTATCTATGTCTCTGTCTCTCTGTCTCTCTGTCTCTCTCTCTCTCTCTCTGTGTGTGTGTGTGTGTGTGTGTGTATTTATCTATTTAATACCATCATTATCCAAAACTGCCTTTACTCTCCTGGGCATGGAGTTTACCAGAGCTTCACAGGTAGTCACTGGAATGCTCTTCCACTCCTCAATGACAACGTCGCGGAGCTGGCGGATATTTGAGACTCTGCGCACCTCCACCTTCTGCTTGAGGATGGCCCAAAGATGCTCTATTGGGTTCAAGTCTGGAGACATGCTTGGCCAGTCCATCACCTTTACCCTCAGCCTCTTCAGTAAAGCAGTGGTTGTCTTGGATGTGTGTTTGGGGTCATTGTCATGCTGGAACAATGCTCTGCAACCCAGTTTCTGGAGGGAGGGGATCATGCTATGCTGCAGTATTTCACAGTACATGTTGGAGTTCATGTTTCCCTCAATGAAATGTAACTCTCCAATACCTGCAACACTCATACAGCCCCAGACCATGACATTCCCACCACCATGCTTGACTGTAGGCATAACACACTTATCTTTGTACTCCTCACCTGGTCGCCGCTACACATGCTTAAGGCCATCAGAACCAAACAAATTAAATTTCTTCTCATCAGACCATAGGACATGGTTCCAGTAATCTATGGGCTTTGTTGACATGTCTTCAGCAAACTGTTTGTGGGCTTTCTTATGTATTGCCTTCAGAAGATGCTTCCTCCTGGGGTGACAGCCATGCACACCAATTTGATGTAGTGTGTGGCGTATAGTCTGAACACTAACAGGCTGAATCCCAATCTCTTTAATCTCTGCAGCAATGCTAACAGTACTCCTACGCCGATCTTTCAAAGAAAGCATTTGGATGTGACGCTCAGCACGTGCGCCCAGCTTCTTTGGACGACCTACCCGAGACCTGTTCTGAGTGGACCCTGCTCTTTTAAAATGCTGGATGATCTTGGCCACTGTGCTGCAGCTCAGTTTCAGGGTGTTGGCAATCTTCTTGTAGCCTTGGCCATCTTTATGTAGTGCAACAATACGTTTTTTAAGATCCTCAGAGAGTTCTTTGCCATGTGGTGCCATGTTGGAACTTTCAGTGACCGGTAAGAGAGAGTGTTAGAGCTGCACTACAAATTTGAATACACCTGCTCCCCATGAACACTAATGAGTCAGATGACATTTTGGAGGGAAAATGAAAAGCAGTACTCAATTTAGACATTTAGAGGTGTAGTTTCTTAGGGGTGTACTCACTTTTGTTGCCAGGGATTTAGATTTTAATGGCTATATTTTGAGTTATTTTAAGGGGAAAAGAAATTAACTCTGTTATATATGCTGCAGACAGACTACTTTTCATTGTGTCAAAAGGTAATTTTTTCAGTGCTGTCCCATGAAGAGATATAATTAAATATTTGAAGAAATGTGAGGGGTGTACTCACTTTTGTGATACACTATATATATATATATATAGATATAGATAGATAGAGAGAGAGAGAGAGAGAGAGAGAGAGAGAGAGAAATAAATAAGCACGGTGGAGTAGTGGGTAGCGGGTGGGATTGAGGAATCAGAGAGCCGAGTTCGAATTATGAGTTCGAATCCATTTCATTCACTTACGTGATAATACCCTTGGGAAAGGCATTAATTATCCTTTTCTCCCGCCATCTATGGGTAAATAGCAGGACACAATCGGTTCTATAGCCTTGGATGGCAACTCGTCTAGAAGAAGAACAACGCTGAATTCAAAACCTGCGGGGGGTTGTTTTGGGACCTTGTGGCACGTAGCGCACAATGTCTCTGTATTCTTCCCTTCAAAAAGTGTGGATGGTCCTGCACGAAAACCTTCACCACTATAATCAAATCATATATGCTGAATTCTGGGCTGTCGGTTCCTAAGAACTGAGCTGCTTGAGCCTAATACTTCGAATATGAGGGAAGAGTCAATATATATATATATATATATATATATATACTGACACCAAATCCGTTGGGTTTCGATCAGGGCATTCGCTTGTCTAGTCGCACGGAGGAGCTGCGAAACAGCGAAATAGGACAGTCTATGAATGATATGATATATATATATATATATTAAGCAATATCCATAATAATTTACATTAATTGTAAAACTCTGAGTTTAATGCCGAAGCTATTTTCAAGTGCTGGAATTATTATATTTATTTTCATTTCTATTTTACTTCGACAGCGGTTTTTTAGGAAAAGTTTATAAATTTAATATGTTTGTGTGTGTTTCTGAATATATATATATATATATATATATATATATATATATATATATATATATATATATATATATATATATATTCAAAGAATATATATATATATAAAAAATTAAAACCTTTTATAAAACATACGTACGACAAACTATTTGTTATTTAACAGTTAAATTATTTAATCCTTGAAAATGGCTAAATGTATAGCCGAAAGCGCTCGGATAAAAAAGAACATTCGGAGGGTTTTTATATAATTTATCATCCGAAAAGAAAAAGAAATATTAGATCACATAAGAAATTGTACAAAACTAAATAAAAGCACTTTGTCGTATTCAATGAAATGTATATGAAAGAAGGATTGCAGCCTAAATACACAAATATATATATATATATATATATATATATATATATATATATATATATATATACATATATAGCCGGGAAAGACATAGTACGCAGGGAGTTACAGAAAGTGAAAGCGAGAGAAAAATACTGTGTAAAAGGGGGGGTGAGGAAAGGATAAAAGAAGAATAGGGATCAAAACAACAGAAGATGGCGATTGACATGGCATTTAAATTTAGAAGATTGTACTTATCAGGGATGCAAGTAAACGGAAGGGAATTCCTCAGCCGGGAAGCGCGAGAAAACTGCTGGTGAAAAAGTGGATTAAGGTTTGAGTTTCTACTTCAATTTTAGACTTGTCTTCGATTGAACTCTGAAATGGTATTCATTAATTATTTATTTCCATATCTTTCTCTCTGTCTCTATTTCGTCTACCGAAAATTATAATGTTTAGCAAGGAATCCCTCTTCTTAGTGATATTTTTCCTTGCCTATTCTTAGAATTTCTGCAAAGTCTTCATTTCAAAAATATTTTACCACGAAATTCTTATTATTTTAAATACACTGATGATTCTCAGTTAATATATCCACAAAGCTTTAACCAATATTTTCAACAAACTTAATAGCGTCGAAGTCACAATAGATTTTTACTTTTGGAGCTGAGTCTATCAACACTTTACCCTTCCTATATATCATGCTACATACAACTAATAACGAACCTTCAGTTGGAGGTTTATACAAAATCTACAAATACGTATGGCCTCGTAAAATTTTATTCTTACCACTGTAACAGAATAAAATCAGGAACTAATTATAGGATTCTATTTAAAAGCACTAAGAATCCACAGCCTCCAATACCTAACCAAAGAAGAAATATACATAGAAAAAAACCATAGAAATATACATAGAAAAAAAAACTTTTCAAAAACCTCCAATATCTTTATTATTTCATCCACAATGCTAAGACGGATTTATACACAATTTATTAAATTCATTAACTTTTATCTAAATGTCACACTTAACTTGAACTCTGAAATGTTATTCACTAATTATTTATTTCCATATCTTTCTCTCTCTCTATTTATTTCGTCTACCGAAAATTATAATGTTTATAGAGAAAAATTTGGTTTAGCGAGGAAGTCTCCTTTTAGTGATGGTTTGCCTCGTCTATTTTTGGAATTTCTGGAAAGTGATCCTTTTCAAAAATATTTTACCACAAAATTCTTTTTTAAATTCACAACAATTTATCAGATGCATTAGTCAGACATAGAAATACGTTTAACGACAACTTTTATCTAAATAATGTCACACTTATTAAAAGTAACTTAGACGGAACAAAAAAAAACTTGAGAGTGCAACTATCGAATCTTGTCAAAATATAAATCTGCGCTCCGGATTTTTTCTAATATTTCCATTCCTTGAAGAATTACCTCAACAGACATGAGTATAGATTAAAGAATTAAAAGAAAGCTGTTAAATTCAAAATTCCACGAGAGAGCGTCTCTGCGCTTGCTTGGTCTCACGCTGTTCACCGACCTGATGTGGAACAACTACATTGAATCTATAGCTTCATCTACTGCAAGGAAAGTTAGTTCTCTGTGGCTCGCCAGAAGGTTTTTCTCGCCTAAGACTATCCTTCAAATCTACAAATTAACTATTCGTCCTTGCAGGGAATATTGCTTTGTTCGGTTTTCAAAAGAAAGTTCGAACACCTCTATAGGGATGTTTGCAGCATTTAAATTGTATTTGAGCGTGTCCCTGAAGCGTAACCAAGGACGCCCTATATTAAACTTGCCATGAAAAAGTTGGCTATACATGAGAATTTTCGGCATCCGATCATCGCTGATGAAACGAACTCTTATTGCAACAGAAACGATTCGAGACCACTGATGACACATCTGAGTAAAACAGCAGAGTTAGAGATTTTGTCATGCGGGATATAACGACATAGTGAACGACGACAGCGTCGAAGAAAAGCATCAAGTTGATTGACGTGCGTCCTGTATGGCGTCCACGATTCTGACCCATAAAGAAGTGTGGTGAGAATGATTTCTCGATAGACATTTCATTTTTAGTGAAATCCCATGAACATTCCATCGATAATGCTTAAGCTTCCCAAAGGCATTGATTGCCTTTGATATCCGGTTAACTATATGGTCTCGTGCTTCCGCTATTCATCTTGAGGTCCTCGACAAAATCCAGAGACGGATATGCAACATGATTAGTCTTGATTTGGCATCTCGTTTGCAGTCACTTTCTCACAGGCGTACTGTGGCTTCCCTCTGTCTTTTCTACAAGTATTTTCATGGCAACTGCTCTGACGAGCTACTTTCTCTGGTTCCCAAAATGCTACTAAATCGGCATTTCGGTTCCACCCTTTTACTGTCGAAACGGTTAAATGTGGCCGTCTCTTCTACTCCAACAGCTTCTTCTCTTGCACTTCCCGGCAGTGGAACTCCCTTCCTCTTATTTGCTTCCCTTATAGCTATAATCTTCATATATTCAAATGTAATGTCAATCGACATTTTCTGATGCCTTGATCTTGATCCCTATTCTTCTTCATATCCTTTCCCTAAACACTCCTCTTTACTCTTGCTCTCATTCTCTGTAACTCCTTGCGTGTTAGGAGGCAGTCCAGCCCTTGCTTGGGGTGAAATACTTGAAAATAAAAACTTCTTGTTATTTAAAAAATATATAATACATAAACTTAAGCTATACTAAAATAATCTAAATAGTAATTTCCTAAAACAAAGATTCAACAACGTTATTTGTTCACTTTTATTAAATAACGTCAAATAGCATGATTTACCAAGACTTTTCAGTTAACCTTTTTTTCACCCATGGACCGCTTTTATTTTTTTTTTTTTTTATTTTATTTTATTTATTTTTTTTGGTGTACTAATCATTCAATGAAAATAAAACTTATGTCATTTTTTTGCCTTATAGATAGCTTTACTTTCGCAAAATCATCTTTACCATGGGCAGGAGGGAGTCGTCAGCGATACGATCTTCCTGGGTTCCTCGAGAATTTCGATTCACTCACAATCGTATTCTCTTCCCTAAGTGACCCAGTCAGGGTTGATCGGAAGCTGATAAACCCCACTCCACCCCGAAACCGCCACCACACCAACAAACTTCGCCTCCATTTTGATGTTGGAAAAGTTTGAGCGTTAGGTGATTTTTGTATTTTATACGTTTTCGTCACGTTACCCACGGGCAATGGTGTTTGGGTTCTGCTCGACCTCTATCTTTGTATGAATTTTCTAGGCTCTAGCCCGAGTTTGGCGCCAATTTCATTAGCGGAATAATAATGCACGGGCTGTGCATTATTATCCTGCTATTTTTTCTTCTTCCCGGATCAACAAAGGGAATTTAACTACTCTGTTTTTATCAGTAAACCTTGTCTGCAATTATAACACACGTACGCGCGCGTAGACACACATATACACACACACAAAAAAAAAATATAATCATTTTTAAAAAAATTGCTTATGGCTACGTTAAATGAAGCTATTATTTACCTACCAGATAACGCCCATTTTGAATGAAAAAATCCATTCCGCCTACGATCAAATGACTGGTTCGTATGAAACAATTATATATACACAAGTCAGATTTGGTTTGGTTTGGTTTGTTTTACGGCATATCAACCTCAATGGGTTATTTAATGCCGACAATATTTTTATGATAGATTCGTATGAATAGAATATGTATTCTTTGCTTTAGATTGGTTTGGTTTATTTTGTTTTACGACATATCAACCTCAATGGGTTATTTAATGCCAACAACATTTTTAGGATAGATTCGTATGAATAGAATATGTATTCTTTGCTTTAGATTGGTTTGGTTTATTTTGTTTTACGGCATATCAACCTCAATGGGTTATTTAATGCCGACAACATTTTTAGGATAGATTCGTATGAATAGAATATGTATTCTTTGGTTTAGATTGGATTGGTTTATTTTGTTTTACGGCATATCAACCTCAATGGGTTATTTAATGCCGACAAGGTTTTTATTGCTGGTAATATTTTTTTTTGTTTATCCATCTATCTCAGTATGCATTGGTTCGTTTTACCGCATATCAACCTCAATGGGTTATTTAATGCCGACAACATTTTTATTGCTGATGACTTTTTTATCCCAAAATTATTTCTGGTAATATTTTTCCTAAAAAAGGATTGCTAGCATTAATGTACTGCTGGTAATATATTTTTCTTCGAAAATTTATTGCTGGTAATAATTTTTGACAAAGATATATTGCTGGTAATATTTTTTTACAAAAATCTATTGCTGGTATTAAAACCTATTTTTACACGTTTTGACTCAAGTCTGTTGGTTAACTATTTGCCCATAGCAGGGATCTTAACAGGTGCTACCACCCAGGGTAACAATGGACCTGGGAACACCAGCAATTAAGAGTAGGTTCCACGTTTCTCAAAATCTCCTGATCAGAGGCCTTGCTGCCGGATGTAGTTTATCGTCTTACCGAGGACACCACAAATCAGTGATTGCCTCAACCAAAACAATAATTTATCCACAAACCGACGGCCAGTATAAACGAAACGATTATTTCTCTACAAGTTCATTTAACTAAAGTTAAGTTTAACGATTAATTAAACCTAAACATCTATCACTAGGTAGTAGGAGAAGGGAAACATTACCTATAAAAAAAACCGGCGTAGGGTCCCTCGCATGTGCGGCGAATAAAGTACACACCAACACTATCAATAATTCACGACTATCCCTCATTTTGAGCGCCGGACACATTTCAGTGGCAAGTGCCAACCCTTCACCGACAAGCACGACTATTAGGAATTGTATTGTAGAAATAGTAAGTGTATATGCTTTATTTTGAAGTAAAACTAATTTAGAGTCTGTCTATATTTCTGAGATGAGGTATTATGTACTCTCTTTCTCTATTGTGAACTGTATCGAAGGTCTTATTGAGTTCACATGAACCTGAACATCTTTCTGGTGTGGCCAGAGTATGAAGGTGTCATCTACGTACCTTAACCATATAGTTGGCTCTAGAGATATAGATTCTAATGCCATTTCCTCAAAGTACTCCATGTATATATAATCGCCATTGCTGGTGATAATGGCGAGCCCATTGCTAAGCCCTCATCCTGTCGATATATGTGTGATCCCATTCCGAAGTGTGTTGTTTGTGTACAGAAAGTCAACATCTCTATCAGATTATCTATTGGAATACTGGTCCGTTCTTCTAGAGAAGAGTCAGAGGTCAATCTCTCTCTGACTACTGCCTCCTCCGTGGTACATAGGTGAACAAACTCACCACGTCCAAGCTCACCATCTGGTTGGATAGGATGGGTGCATCTTTGATTATTTCCACGAAGTGGGCGGAGTTTCGGACATATGAAGGAGACTTTCCGATCAATGGGTCAATTATATCTACAAGGAAGCGACTCAGAGGGTGGCACACAGAGCCTTGGCAACTAACAATCGGCCTGAGCGGAATACCCTCTTTGTGAATCTTAGTGAGACCGTATATGTGAGGTAGCTTGGTATAACGCAGCGATAACTGCCTATACGTCTTAGGTGCGAAGTGATCATTGTTCTTGATTAGGAACTTTGACAGTTTGCGTACAAAACTAATTCACTGAAAATAAACTTGTATTTAACAAATTCTATAGAACATTTATTTACACAAGTAAAATAACTCCTAATAAACCATTTTAAAATAAATGCAAATTTTTCCTTGAGATCCCTGTTGTTGATACTGCTAAAGAGGTTAATACTGTCAATCCTTCTTTTATATATAATCTTTATATAATTTATATATTTATTTTATTTTTAAATATTTTATATTAATTTATATGAATATTTTATTTTATTAATATTTAAAATTAATATTCTTTTTTATTATTAATATATCAAATTAATCTATATAATAAATTATAATCTTTATAACATTTCCTTTATATATATATATATATATATATATATATATATATATATATATATATATATAAAGGTGAACATAGAAGTCAACACTTAGAGGCGACAGTCTGTTTCTAGGCGCAATCGTCGGTGGATCTACGATAGTGTCCAGCATGAAACAGACTGTCGCCTCTAATATATTTTTCTCTCTGTTAGCTTCTGGCCGTCTTCTACTGAACAGAGACCTTGCTGTCGGATGTAGTTTATCGTCATACCCGGAATGCAGATGTAGTTTATCGTCTTACCCAGGACGCGGATGTAGTCTATCGTCTTACCCAGGAGGCGGATGTAGTTTATCGGCATACCCAGGACGCGGATGTGGTTTATCGTCTTACCCTGGACGCGGATGTAATCTATCGTCTTACCTCGGACACATTTTTAATTTCTCGTCTTACACAGGACGCGGATGTAGTTTATCTTCTTACCTAGGACGCGGTCGTAGTTTTTCTTATTACCCAGGATGCGGACGTAGTTTATCATCATAACAGGGACAGTGTGTGTGTGTGTGTGTGTGTGTGTGTGTGTGTGTGTGTGTGTGTGTGTGTGTGTGTTCTTAAAATTATTTATTTTTAGTCTCTATGCAAATTGAGTGACTTTAACAATCAGGCCAACCGTTCGATTGCATCGTTCTGTCGATGCCCCAGAGGACCTTTCGGCTAGATTCATCGCGTCCTGTGTCTTAATGACGTCGTATCACCTGCTATTCACCTACCCGCCGCCTTAGCACCCGACAAATTGAATGGATGACGAGCGATTATTACGTTTGAAAAAGAAGATGTAAGACGAAAGATATCGATGTGCGTAAAAGTCAGTGATTGAAAGGGTAGCCAAACTCTTTCGCACGAGTCTTTGTTATCTGCCGAAACCTTTGATTAGGGATTGTGTAGCGCCAGTCGATAAGGCAGTGACTCCCAAATGGTGAGGCGTGCCTCATAGGTGCAGCAGAGGAGGATAGCAGGTGAAGCGGGATGATTGAAAAACAATCAAAGATTTAGAAAGTTTGAAAAAACATTTATATGCCAAAAATTAAAATGATTTCAAAATTTAAAATATCATTACATATTACTTGCAATTGTATGCATAAGTCCCAGTATAAATAGTTATAAAAAATTATTGACCAATTTTATCATTGTGATATTTTTTAATTATATCAAGTATTAAGAATATAGTAACTTGGGTCCGCAAATTGGAGGAGAGAGTTATCAATGATAATGTTCTGATTTTGAATCCACGGTTATCTCCCTTTAAGCATCTCTCTGTTTGTTTTTTGTTTTTGTTGTTGTTGTTTTTTTAAGAGTATTTTTTTATCATATACAGTTTGGCAAGGCGCAGAGCAAATTTTAATTCCGATAAAGCGGCCCAGAGACAAAAAGGTTGGGAATCACTGCTAGATGGCCAAACAAAAGGACGCCTTCCATAAAAAAAAATATGGTTGCACAGCGGATAGGGAAGAAAAAAAAATAATGTCCGGTTGAAAAATCTTTAAAAAAAAAATGGAAAAAATATTAAGAAAGCTTTCACAAATAAGTATTAAAATTTCGATATTCTTCGTTTCCTTATCGACCCCCACCCCAACTGGTAAGGCTTAAAACTTTAAACATAATTAACAAAAAAAAAAAAACGATATACAGAATGCTCAGTTCTTTGAGGAGACGGCTTTTAATAGATCTATCTTTTTTTTCTAACTCGATCTTACCGGCATTTGTTTTCAGATATAATCGTAATTTCAAGCTTAATGAAAGCTAAGTTCAAAACTCGCATTAATTTAAGCAGATTACACTGGGGAACAAATTTCAATTTTTTGTTTATTGAATTAGCTTTGACAGCTAGTTCTATGTAATTCGGGTGCGTTGAGCACGAGTGTTTATTCGGTTTTTCTCTGTCACGTTCTGGCTTTCCTCTTTCGTCGTACTCATAAAAAGATTTTTTCTTCTAAATATTCGCTAAATCTTTTTAAAGTTACACATTATACATCTAGGTTGTTATTTAGGAATTTCTATTTATTTATTGTTTTGTATTTGTTATTTGTATTTATTTATTGATATGGTATTGTTGTATTATGTGTACTTTTATATGTAACACCCTAAAAATATTTTTAATTGTATCATTTTTAACCAATTTTAATATCAGTAGATTAAGCTATAAATATCGTAAAATTCTAGAATTTTCTCGAGCGTTCCTGTTTTCTGTAGAATATTCTAGA